TGTTTAGATAAACAAGGAGCTGTCCAACAACAAGTGTGGAAGTGGATCCGTAAATCAGCAGGTAGGACTGAGTTGATTCAGGTCAGCCACTAAATGTAATAAATGTATTAATGTATTTTTTTTAAAATGAAGTCAGTTTGTGAGGTGTTTAGGAAGAAAATTTCTGTAATCATTTTTAAAGTATAAAGTAATCATTTGTAGTTCTGCTATACTGTTTACTCTCTTCTCAGTTAAACTGTTGCATGATGACCTAGGAAGGAAACCCAAATAACAATAATATTTATTATTTGTAGCTAATGTCATTCTGGACCCCAGAACAGCGCATCCTAATCTTACCGTTTCTGAGGACGGCAAACAAGTGAGATTCAGTGACCACCTCCTACCTGACAGCCCACTGAGGTTCAAAAATTGGTACGGGATCCAGGGAAAAGAGAGTTTCTCTTCAGGGAGACATTACTATGAAGTTCAGGTTGGGTCAAAGACATGTTATGCTGTTGGTTTTGCAAAAGAGTCTGTCAAAAGGAAGGAGAATTTTAATGAAACCTCAGAGGAAGGCTTCTGGACATTTACACGGCAGAGGGGGTATGAGGTTTCTACAACCCCTCCCAGCTCCCTCTCTCTGAATGAGCCCCCTAACAAGGTGGGGGTTTATGTGGACTATGAGAGGGGGCAGGTTTCCTTTTACAATGCGGACACCAGGTTCCATATCTACTCTTTTAATGGTTACAACTTCAAAGAGAAACTCTATCCAGCTCTAAATCCCTGTAAAAGTTTGACAGTTCCACTGATCATCTCTCCTGTCAGTCACACAGACTGATCTGAAACAGCAGTTTCCAAACAGACAAAGATTAGTGACAATCTGATTATTATAATAATATTGGTCTTATTTTTTTGTTTGCAATTATTCTGTATGTCTGCTGTTAAAAAGAATCATGGTTATTTCCTTTGTGTTGCATCTCATCTCATTTCATATTAAATACAGGAGTTTGTGTGCATTTACTTATTAATTTTAGCTTGTTATAGAACACTTCCAGCTTTTTGATAAATAATAATTGTGCTCCAAGGACCAAAGAATAAACCATGTTTTAACATTATTTTGTCATTTTTTAAAGACGATTTATAGTAGTGTCAAACATACTGTCAGAACTTGCAGATTTTCAATTAAGCTTAGGCACACAGCTGTGTAGAGAAATGTACCTTGTATTTACATCAGGATACTGCTTCTATATCATATTAGCTATACACCTTAAAGCTGTGGTTTTGGTTTGTGGTTGTGTGTGATTTCCTTGAAAGTGAATGTAGCAGGACATTAGTGGGTGTTTCTCTTAGTGTAAGTATGAGTCATTATACGGCTATTAGCCATATAATGACACATACTCCGTTTCTAACTTGTAATACAGTATGCATACAGTAATGTATGTGATGGAATGCAGCTCTACGCAATGCTGTTCTTGTGGCTAGATTTAATTTTCCAATTGTAAAATAACAGCCTTGCATCAACTTTGGGACCGGGACCACTGGAGGCAAAGTAATTTGGGCATTCTCAATATTGTTGCTGATTATCTGACATAAATACGATCGGATGTAACTCAATCAGGTATAACTTTATGTAAGACTCTATGTGATTCTAATCTGAACTCTATAGTTCTATAGCTA